ATATGGTACAAGGCATAAGACTAACAAACACCTTGTAGTTCTCAATAGTAATAGGAGCTAAAATTTAGGATGTTTTGGCTATCTGGCTCCTAAGATAATACAACATAATTCCTATTGAAATCATTGAATTGAATATAACTAGTGCATGAAATATTTCCGGAAATTTTTGAAAATTTTGTCTGAAGTCAATTTTTTAAGAAAATCATGAGTGCATAGCGCTATGCACGAATGGTTTTGTTCAAAAAAATTGGCTGAAGACGAAAGTTTTAAAAATTTCCCTTAGCATACGTACTAGAATCAGTCCTCTACGTCCTCTTGATCCTTCTGTATGGAGCAGAAGCATGGACACTTACCGATGCGTCATGCAAACGAATAGATGCATTTGAGATGTGATACAATCGCCGCATGCTCAGGATCTCGTGGGTGCACCATGTGTCAAACGAAACAGTCTTGCAACGCATTGATGGAGAACTGGAGTATCTAACAAACGTCAAATGCAGAAAACTAAAATACTTTGGGCATATCATGCGAATCAAAAAATATCATCTACTTCAGCACATCTTACAGGGAAAGATAAAGGGTCGAAGATCAGTGGGTCACAGTCGCAGACATATGTCGTGGCTGAGAAATTTAAGATCATGGACCGCAATGACATTAACAACTCTTTTCAGAACTTCGGTAAACAAAGTAATATGGACCAATGTGATAACCAACATCCTCAGAGGATAGTCATTTCAAGAAGAGGAAGAAGAATAGAAAATGGAAAGCTCCAATTATTGGTCGGTAATTTGCAATGTTGGTGTCTCATTTTCTTAAAGTATACATAGACTTCAGCATTTTGACAAAATTCAAGTATTAATCCTTCGCTAATATATTTGTTAAACAGAGCGCATAGAGTTTCCTCCAGAGCCATTTGTTCCAATTTTGGAACCCCCTACACCGCAAGGCATTTCTTGTTTGTTGCGCTTATAGTTTTGTTCTATTTATAAAATTAATGAAAGCATCTTTTCATAAAACAACTTTACGGCCATGAGAATCAAGGCAACCCATCCATTTGGTTTAAAGGTTACTATGAACTATTGTTTTATGTAGAAATTATCCATTGCAACAATACCCGTTAGTATTGCGGGCTCTCCTACTATAATCTGCTGAATAATTTTCTTGAATTCCCCTACTTTACCTAGATGCACTGCGGTTGAATTTTGCAATTCAATTACTTCTAGAAATGAACTATGATGGGCTTGTAGGACCATATACATTTTGTTTGCAAATTGGAATAAATCAGATTCAACAATCCACCAAGGTAGACTAGGAATTTCCAAATTTAAAATCGGTTCAGTGACAAGAGCTTTATCATTTATATATATCACAAATTTCAATAGGATCTTTTATTTATAAATAGCTGTGTTTATGACATCATTATTTTGGTTCAATCATGTCTAGATGAGGACTATCCAGATGCTGAATAGACTCTAGCAATTCCTAGGAACATGTGTTTGTTCATACGATTGATTCTTGGTACGGTTTATATTCCCTCATCATCACCATTCTCAGTTACTTCGGCTGTTTCGGATCTAATAGGGAATTATCCAAATTGTGATCTCTTGACGTGTATATGGGAACTTTAACTTGCCTGCGCAATCTGGAAGAATTCTGAGCGAGGGTTAAGGGTGGTGGGGGCTGAGTCAGTTGCATCGGCTGGTCCCTTGTGCACATGTTGTAATTACCTCAATCCGGGTTGGTTTTGAATCCAGGGTAAACGTGTCCAGTTACAATGTTCACCCTGGAGTTATGCTTAATCTAGGGGCTTGCTATTGAGAAACCGGCCCTAAGCAATAAGTTAATTCAATACCAAACATTTCTGATGATTTTTTGGATCTGATCTGATATAGAATTAATTCTGATCTGGAACACGAATAGGGCTGGAACTCTGTAAGAGATAAAGATCGTTATCCCTATCGCTATGGCACTTGCTGTCTTCTTCTCTCTTGTCAAAATTCATAGAGAGGAGACGTCAATAGAGATAGAAAAAATATCTCTATTCGTTACTGAGTCCCAGCCCAGGTTTCTTCTGTTAAGTGTTATCCCAATAGCATGCATTATAACGGCGAGAACGCAGGCAGCGATCAAGATATATTATTGTGAATTTGTTTGCACGGCATTTTGCTGCCATCTACAAAGAATATGAAGGACTAGCTCCAAATGGCAGTTTAAGAGGTGGTCTTTATTAGAATTCAGTAACGATATCTCTGTGTGAGATCTTTGAGGGGATTGCTGATCTTGCTGATTCTGATGAATATTCCCATGGACCTGACTATATAACGTCGGTACTGCTTCAGAGCTGTGTTTGTACATTGAGCAGGCTTCTGCATTATTTAATTAATCTTTTTTTATCAACTGGTACCTTTCCTAGCTACTAAAAAATAAGTTTCCTGACACCTATACATAAAAGTGGGGATAAAAGCGACGTTTCTTACTATAGGGGAAGTAGACAATCGGTAATTCCAAAACTTTTCGATAAACCGTTTTGCGATCACCTTTCATGGCACTTCATGAAAGTGCTAGTGATCAACAGCACGGCTTTGCTTGGGATAGATCGGCAGTCAAAAATTTGCTCACCTATCAACACTATATGTTGAATGCCTTTGAGAACACGTACCTACTACTCGAAGGCATTTGACAGGGTAAGTAATAGGTATCCTTGTTGGTAACCCTGAGCCTCTTGAAATGGGTAAGATCGTGTTTAATTTTTGTTGCAGTATCTTGACTGGGTACACTCAACTAGTGCGGGTAAGCAACTTCATTTCAAGTGAACTGCAGGTCTTTTCTGGCTTGCCCCAGGGATCGCAAATTGAACCTATCTGTTCAACTTATTTATAAGAGATTTGAGTGGTTATTGTTCGTTCGGAGCATTTGGCTTTTGCTGATGATTTTAAATTGTTCAAAGTTGTTGAGTCATATGGATGTGTTTTTACTGCAAAAAGATGTTGACAGTGTTAATATGTGGTGCAGGAATAATGGTCTTGAGTTAGATGTTAGGAAATGTGTGTACATCTCATTCAGTCGTTCAGCAAATGTAATATAATATGAATATTTGCTCATTGTACTGATGGTTTTGGTGTCTGTGACAACAGAGACCTGGGGGTATTGGTTGACTCCAAATTAAAAAAAATTTCCTCATTGTAAAGATGTTAACAAAGGATTATGTAGCCGTGGGTTTGTTGTGACCAGTAACACTGCTCAACTCTCGCCGTATTCCTTCAAGTTGCTCTATTGTTCACTTGTTCGTCCTATTTTGGAGTATGTCTCTGTTTTATGTTCTCCATACTACGCATGTCATATTAGTGACATTGGGTCTAAGCAGATCATATTTTTGAGATCCTTGGCTCTCACAGCGAATGTCAGGATACGTGATGACTATCAAATTACCCATGGTATAATAGGCCAGACAGTATTGAAGTAAAAAGACGTCATTGTGACCTTCTGGTTCTATTCAAAATAATGAATAGTACCCCTTTTTTGTTACATGCTATTTTTCTCAATGCCAGTAAAGGGAGGCGTGATTTGCCAATGTTTCGCATTGTCAATAAGACTTATATAATTTTTGATTTTATCTATTCATCCTTCTGACCGTAGCTGCTCTCTTTGGTTTTTCCTGTTGATTTGGATTTGGTTAACTTTCCCGATTTCCAAAAACATTTTGCTGCGTTAACATTTCTTGTAAATTTTGAACCTATGTTTTCAAATCTTCCATATTTTCTTCTACATCTAAAGGCGGATTTTCATTAGTTTTTCATTTATTTTCAGGCATCTCAACACCCTGTTGGAAGACTATAGTAAATTAAATTAAAGAAACTAACTTTATTTCTAGTTTTGTCACATCTGTCTCTAGTTACCTACTTCAAAATCTTCAGATTTTCGCCTACCTTTTTATTATATCCACCCGCCTATGGCGTTGACCACCAAAATACATACCCATAATAAAATTGACAACAAATTTATTTATCTATTCGTGATTATACCTGAAAATCTGTAAAAAAATTACACAGAGTATGGTGTGGCGTACCATCGCACTTTTGACAAAAAAACGGAAACACGCCATGCTGGCTCTATCTTCCATCGACCGGAACGTCAATGGCACATTCCATTACTTGTCCTCTCAGGTGCTAATAAAACAAATACAATTTCATGAAAAAATAACATAATGGAATTATTAGTCAGGGATAGTTTCCTTGAGAATATGCAATGGTAAAAAAACTATGAAGATTGGATTTGTAGAATGCTTGTTTCTACAAATAGACTCAATACTTTAATAAAAAATATGTGAGTCTAGATATAATATAGAAAGTGCTACACAACAAGGATGAAGACAAATAATTTTGTTTAGCATCACCAAAAAGTTGTTTAACCATTATTAAAAGCAATTGCATTCTAAGACATGAGATGAAAGCTAAAAATAGTAGAGGTATATGAATAGGAAAGGCGATTTTGTTATACAAAAATTCCAATCGAAGCAAAATATTTTTGGCAAAAACTCCACGATTCATAACGGTAAAAACCAAATCCGCATATCCGTTCCAATATGCCGAGTTAAACGCCCCATAACAATAAAAATTATTAAATCTGTCGCCTAATTGGTGGCCCTAATTACTGGTTATTGAGTGACGATGCAATGCTTTATGGTGTTTTTATAATCTTCCAAACCTATAATTATACTAGCGGCATGGTTTTTTTGTACTTCCAGGATGAACCTTTCATAATTAGATTTGTAAAAAACCTTTTTTTTTTTCAGAATGAAAAGTATGTCCAGATAGTCCTTGTTTAAAATTCTAGGCGAGTCAAAATGAAAAGTTACCCTTACATTCCCAGTATGGTGCAAGCTATCACTGTTTTAACGGTTCTGAAAATGATGACGAAAGGTAAAAATCAAAAGTTTTACATGATTTATGACAAATAATATTTTCAAAAACTTTTAGCCCAAACTTCCTGCGGGTCTGGCTCGATGAATGGGAAAATTTTATACGAAAGACTGCCAAATATCCAGCTGCAAGGCTTCGATGATGACGTTGTTAGAGATACTGCACCTCCGTTTATGGTTTTGGAAAAATGTCAGGATATGTGTTTGAGAGATAGATCTTCGAATAATATTGTTAGGTAAGATATAATCCATATACAGTGTATAATGAAAACTGTGATTGGTTGATTTCGAAACTTGTTTTAAGGTCTTTAAAAAAACGGCACATCAGAATTGGCTCAAATTTGGCCTTAACATTATTTGATCGATTATCTACAATTCCTTATTTTGGTTATTCGATATTCAGCCTTTTTTTTTGAAATTCAAAAATCATGTTCACAACCACCAAAACAATTAAATGTGTTGGTGGTTACCTATTTGCATGTTTATCAAGCTTGGATCCGTGAAAAGCATATTTTATTGATAACCACGAAAAACTAAAGAAAGCTAATTGTAGAGATTGTAGATAATATATCAAATAATGTTTATGCCAAAGGATTTTGGAAATTATTGCGGATTTTTTGAGATGATCTTAAAACGAATTTTGAAGGTGAAAACAGTTCAAGCAATTTCAAGTAGATGGCGCCACGGCAAAAAAGCTACATTGGGAGCATCATAATTGTATATTTGTCTTTCTCTGTCACTAAGTGTTTCACCGACAATCAGATTTTGTTTTGGACAAATAATAAAATATTGAACCCTATGTGTAGAGTGACGCAGTCGTCATTTTCAAAAACTAAATTTAAACATGGCGGCCATTAACGCGGCCTTAAAATACTCAGGTTTTATCAATGTCTACTTTAAATTTGGAATATTTTAATTCCAAGTATCAACTGTTTTGAACAAACCTGATGATTTCTTCGCTAGGTTTTTTAGTATTTAGTCTGTTATCTCATTTATATCGGGTCTTCAAAAAAAAAACAATCATAGATTGCTATGGTTTTTTAAACGTACGTCTTAGCAATATTTTTCTTTAATTTTGACAATGTCAGTCAATGAAATTTAATGTCAAAATGTCATGTCAAAAATCCTGACCAATAAAGAAACAATAATGCGACGTACGTTTTCGTAACCAAAGCAATCTTTGATTGTTTTTTTTTTGAAGACCCGATAAGCTTTTTATGAGGATTATCACTTAGGTATATAGAGTGGGACTAGAGAAAGGCGGATCTGGAAGTGACTTTGGAACAAATAACAAATAACCATCTCCAATTGATAAAATCCTTGATAGGGATTGTGGTAGAATACAACAAACCATTGATATTAATCTTTGTAAGTTTTGAGAAAGCATGTTAATAGCTCTTACAGAGTGGAGTCAAGTGGAGTATTGACCATAGGTAGAAAACCCTTCTTCAGATTATACAGTGAGCACGTAAAGATTGGAATAAAATCTATAAAATATACAGGGTGGATATTTTTCAAAAAACCTTGGACACGTCAATTTTTGATTTTATAAGTGGCCATTTTTTTGATGATAATACCATGTATACAGGATGACTTTAAAACAAGTTATGACAGCTAACTTTATTTTTTTAAATGAAAACACCAATTTTTTATTTCATTTTCAAATTCTACTTTAAATTCTGAACCTATTTCATGTATCATGTATCATTCTACAGCCTGTCAAAGTTGCAAAAAAGTCAATTTTCAACTGTCAATATTTCCGAAACAGGCGAAGATAGGTATAGGACATGATGCATAAAATATGTTCAGAATTTAACGTAGAATTTGAAAATGAAGTAAAAAATTGGTGTTTTCATTTTAAAAAATTAAGTTAGCTGTCATAACTTGTTTTTGGGTCACCCTGTAAATATGGTCTGATCATCAAAAAAACGGCCAATAAAATCAAAAATTGACGTGTCCGAGGTTTTTTGAAAAATATCAACCCTGTATATTTTATAGATTTTATTCCAACCTTTTCGTGCTCACTGTACATATACAATATTGCACCAGCTGCAGTCAGACAGTGGCGACGCCAGGGGGGGCCAGAGGGGGCCGGGGCCCCCACTGAAATTTAGCCGGCCCCCCCTGAAAACTTGCTCTCATATCGGCAACAATACAATGCAACATCAGCAGCCTCTGCTGGTTAATTCGGTATTCGGCGGGCACAGGCCAAAAATCGTTAATTAAATGGATTGGTCATCCTCATAAGGCGTGCTTTTACCAATTCTTGATTCGGCAGGGCCTACACACAAAAACCTGTCAAAATGGCGCCTGGTTTTGACAAACAATAAACAAAAAACATATGTTTTTTTTTGGCGGGAATATCAATACAGTTCTCTAATCACTTTTCTGACATCGTTGACATGTACCATCGTCACCAAAAGTATCCGAGACGAAAATAATGCATAATAATCTCCTGGACTAATTCTTCCATCATTCATTTCAATGCATTTAATTCATAGTTTGACAAATATGTGAAAATAAAATTCATATAATAGTACAAGAGCTAATATGATGCTGTCTCAGTTACTTTTGGTGACGATGGTACAACCCGTATTCTAACCTCATAAAAATTTCAAATTGCCGACTGGTTGGCAAAAGTCATGTGGTTTGGATTCCCTAATTAGCAGCTTATAGTGATGACGTCACCCTCAGGCCTAGATGGTATGCTTGCGATTCAGGTTGTGCTTGTTTTTTCGTTGATTTTAAATGAAAAAAAGGTGATTTTAATAAGATTATAACGTTTAGGAATTCGTTTTTTTGACTTATACTGTTTTAAATTCGGCTAAGCCATTCACTCCAAGTGTTGAGGTTTGTAACTGAAATAGCAGCCATTTTAAGCTCAATAAGTAGTCCTATTAGGTTGAGAGGGCACAGGCAACCACGATGCTTTTTCCGCTTTCCTGGGATCCCCCCAGACATAAAGTCGACAGGTACTTTCCATTATGTATTCCAAATAAGAAAAGCAATAAAATAAAAACAAGTACCCCCTCCCCTATATTTTTCTGGCCCAGTCTGGCCACCCTAACATAGAACCCTGGCGTCGCCACTAGTCAGAATGTATTATGGCGATACCAAAAAATTCCCCTTGAAGAAAGGTATTAAACTAGGAGACACCATCTCTCCTAAACTATTCTCTGCTTCGTTACAAAGCGCTATGAAGAACAACCATTGGGAAAATATCGGAGTAAACATCAATGGAAAGTATCTAAACAATCTAAGATTCGCAGACGACATAGTCCCTATTGTAGAAAGGGTAGATCTTGCATGTTAACTTCTCCAGAACCTCCAAAGTTCTTGTGGACGAGTTGGCCTTAAAATCAATTCCTCCAAAACACAATTCATAACCAACCTTGTACTGGACAAAAACATTTCAACATATGGCAAGCAAAACGAACGATAGCTATAAATATTTAGGCCACGAGATTAAATTTAGAAGAGACAACTGGACCACAGAATTGAATAGGATAATGGGATTGACATAGGCAACCCACAGAAAACTGAGGGATGTCATTGAATCAGATATTCCCATTCAATGTGTGCTTCCAGTTCTAATAAATCGTATCACAGTCGAACTGAAACTTAAAAACTATAAAGCAATAGCGGCCTTTATATATCCCTAACTCCTAACTCTATTCCTGTAAAATCTAGAATACACACGATAATCTTATTTTCCCGATTAAAATAGAATAATTCGCTAGATTCTAGGATATTCGACAGCGAATGCCTGAGATTCTTGACAGCCTGGCCACAATATGTCAACATAAACGGGCTAAATCTTGTTGTGTCCTGCATCGCTGTATTATATGCAAATGTTATAAATGGTAGATAGCTACACCAGTCTATTTGCTGTGTGTTACAATACATGGATAACATGTCAGCTATTGTCTTATTTAGCCTTTCAGTGAGACCATTACAACAAGGATGGTATGCGGTTGTGAACTGGCTTTTTACACCCATTATTCTATCCAATTCCTTGACTATATCTGACTGGAATACTTTTTCTCTGTCGCTCAGTAAGTGTCTTGGCATTCCATGTATCAAGAATACTTTTTGCAGTAAAAACTTTGCTATTGGCCCTACTTTTCCATTTGGTAGGGCAACTGTGATGGCGTATCTTGATGCGTAATCGGTAACTACAACTATCATTGTTTTCCTTTTACTACCTACTTCTTCTAAATGGGCCTAAGAGATCAATTCCGATTTTGTCGAAAAATGTTTTCACTGATATTGGTTGTAACATCCCTGTGGACGGCGATTCTCGAATCGTGTGATCCCTGTTCTCAAAGGAAAAGTACGCGTGGTTTCTATTAAAATCTATTACGAAGTATTCTCGAAATTAGAGATCGTTCACTTCCTATGAAAGTTGAGAGAATTTTATTATACTAGTTTTTTTGTAGAGAACGTCTGTTCTCAGACCTATCTCGCATAATTAGAAAAAGAGAGCTTAATTGTTATAAATACAAGTTAGAAAGCAATAAAAGATGACATGCGCGCGCAACTCGTAGGCTGCAGTATAGCCAGATTGTATTGTTGCAGAGCAAATATAGACAATACAAATCGAACATTATAACATTAAAGAAGTGATATAGTGTCAAGTGTTTTACAACGCTTTAAATCAGACCAAAGAAGAGCTTTAAAGTGGATGAACATCGTTTGCACTTTTATTTTGATAAATGTTTCATCCGGCAACATCGCTCAATGAAATTGCAAAGGAATATGTCAAGTATAATCTAACATAACCTTAAACGAAACTGCGGTGAGTTCAAGTAATATGTAAAGTATTATTTTACTCTTTGTCAAATTACACGTTACAAAAAAAGAAGGAACGATTCATTTTGAACTGGCCCCTGAATAAGAATATGACGCAATCCTGTCACAAACTTGCTTCTCATTGAACGCTCACCTGCAGCCTACAAGCGACGCGCGCAGTCCAGGTAATAGGAGATCGGTCTATTGCCAATTGGGTAGGTACATTTGCATATTGTGTTGAAGTGGAAAATACGAGATGTGCATGTTACAAAAAAATGAACAAGAGGTGAGACAACTTAGAGATGCAGTAAAAATCTTCGATGTCCTTTAGCATTCCGTCCCAAAAAAATCTGTTTTTAATTTTGTCCGTTATTTTGCTTAAGCCCAAATGTCCACATGTTGGCGAAGCATGGAGTTCCCACAGGATTTCACTTTTCATTGATTTTGGAATCACTATCACTTTCTCTAAGTCTCTTTGCGTTTTATTAGTTTTATACTGTAGGTTATTTTCGACTCTAAAATTCTTTGCCCTTTTTCGAATGCCTATGTTCTTTGCTGATTTGGCGAAAACGTCATTGTATCCGAGAAGGAGTTTTTGAACTGCCTGCTTGGTTATTTAGTCTTGAATACTTTCTATCTGGTGATCTTCTAATGCTACTCTTCCACTATTATTATTATTTATTTCTTCCCGTATTAAAAAATTATATGAGTGATTATCATGTGTTTCTTTTTCAAACCGTGCTATTGTACTTCCCTCAAATAATGCCACTGGAATTTTTGTTTTTGCTTCTAATTTAATAACAAGGATGTTTGTGCCCCCAAAAAAATATGTGATTTACTACCCCATTGCAATAAACAGCCGATCGAATCGGCAATTAAATTAATAAGGTTGAATACCGGGTCCTTCTTTCCCAAGTAGCTAGTTGACAATATAACAAAATTACATTCATTTGGGACCAAACCATGATATGTAAATAGGATGAGAGAGTCATATATGCTACCTGGATTTAATGTCTTCTAGAATATAATATGTAAATCCGATCAGATTCATGTTACATGCTGTAATTGGTAGAGCATACATACATTCATACTACGAATGGTGTAGAACTAATATTTCATTTAAAACACACAACTTATTTTATTTTAGACAATGTGCATCTTTCGATTTCCAACCAGGAAGTCGTATAGCAACCTTCAATGGAGACCCACAATACGAAGAAAGTACTTGTTATCTCACTGGTGAACAAGCTAGACCTGAAGGTTTAGGTACTTTAATGCTAGCACCGAACAGTATACATTTTACAGAAGTTTGCATAACATGTAAGTTAACTTTATTATTACTAGTTGCATATTCACTCCAAAAAAAAAACCTTCTCTAGCCAATAGACCAGACCGAGAATGTCCGAACCGTCGTTACATCTTCGAAAGACACCCTCGAAAAAAACTCAAACTTCCCGCAGCAGATATGAAAGAAATGAACGCCAACAACAGAAGCGAATGCGAAGACAAATGCCTCAACGAGTTCAGCTTTGTTTGTCGATCGGCCACTTTCGATGTGGGCATGCGCACTTGCACTTTAAGTCGTTTCACTAGAAGAACTCATCCGGAATTGCTGGAAGACGATCCCGAAAGTGACTATTTGGAAAATACTTGTTTGAATGCCGAAAGAAGATGCGACGGCTTGGCGGTGTTCATCAAGGAAGAAAATAAAAGACTCGGGGGGCCATTTGAAGTTGATATGTTTACCAATTTAACTTTGGAAGATTGTCAAGGGATGTGTGTGAGAGCGGAAAAATATTTGTGCAGGTCCATTGAGTATGACGAAATGACTAAGCAGTGTACTCTATCAGAAGAGGACTCTATATCTCAAAAAGATGACATCGGAGTGGCCAGTAGTCCTACGCATCATTTTTATGATTTTGTTTGTTTGGATAGCCGTAAGTACAAAATAAATCATTTTTTTTTTTTAATTTCAATATCACAAATGTATTTTTCCATAGCACGTGGCTCTGAGTATCCAGATAATTCAGTGACGTCACATTTGTTTACTGGAAAGAAGCCAGATACAGCTTTTCAACGATATAGGAATAGTCGTTTGGGTGGTAAGTACAAAGAGTTCCAATTGTTCTTGTCGTGCTTACGAAATATTTTTTAGGTGAACACCATTCTGAAATATCCGGTAGAACGCTGAGCGAATGCCTAGACGAATGCTTACGCCAGCCCAGTTTCCAGTGTAGATCGGCAGAATACAGCGAACGCTACAAAACCTGTAGATTAACCAGACACAATCAACGTGACGGAATGAGAATTATTTACGATGCTGACTATGATTATTATGAGAACCTTATGCGTAAGTTTTCACAATTCAAACCAATTATATAATTAATCTAATTTATTTTCAGTTGGTGGAGAAGGAGATGGAACTGGTAGCAGACCAGGCGAATATTCGGGAAGTAACGGGTATCGACCGGGTACAGGAGCTAATATCGGAGGCAATAGATATCCTCCAAGCGGTGGGCGTTATCCTATAACCACAGGCAGTAGATATCCGCCACCTAGTGGAGGAGGAGGTTATGAGGATCGATTACCCGCAGGAAGACCACAGTATGCTGACAGATATCCAGATGACGATAAATATCCGGAATACGACAGGTATCCAGCAAGGCCTACTGGTGGTAGATACCCAGCAGGTCCTCCAAGATATCCACCATCGTCGAGTGGAGGCAGATATCCGTTAGATGATAGAGATAGATATCCATCGTACCCGCCATCATCGAGCGGTGGAAGTTTGTATCCAAGACCACCTACTAGACCAACAAATGGTGATAGATATAATGGAGATAAATATGGAGAAAGATACGGTAGTAGATATGGTGATAGATACGACTATAAGCATGATAGCTTTTATGGTGATAGAGTTGGAGATCGATTTTATGCTGTTGACAGATACCCACCTGGTGTAGCTGATAGATATAACGGAGATAGATATAACGGTGCCGACAGATATCCGATGGATCGCGACCGTGACAGATACGATAGTGAAGAAAGATTCGTTTCACGATACGGCGGATCTGGAGCCAGCAGGTACGGTGGTAATACGCGCTTCAATGATAGATACGGAGGTTCGAGATTTGGAGTTAGTGGCATCGGAACTCGTTACGACACAAATCGTTACGATTATAATGACGATGGAGGTAGCAGATGGTTGCCTAGACCCGACAGGCGACCTTTAGGTCGTCCAGTTGACGCCAGGCCCTATGAAAGACCAAGTTTTGACGAAAGGCCTTATAATAATCGTAGACCGATATTATTAGGACCCGATGAGGATAGGCCTTATGTCAATCGTAGACCGATATCGATAGGACCCGATGAGGATAGGCCTTATAGTAATCGCAGACCAATATCGCCAGGGCCTGATGGACCTATTTATGATAATTTTGGTGGGATAGCACCAGTGAGGCCGTTTAATACTAGATGCGATGAAGGGGACAGTTTCAAACAGATGGGTTCAAGACAAAGAGCGAGGAAGGAGTATGTTAGAAGAGCATTGTTTGCCCCATCATTGAGTAGATGTCAACAAGAATGTATTGACGAGAGGGAGTTTGTTTGTAGATCGTTTAATTACAAGTAAGAATATGCAATAAATCGTGTCAAAAATCTTATTGTTTTATATTTAGAGATCAACCATCATTATCTAGTACCTACGAGTCAGACCGTGACAATTGCGAGCTGAGCGACAGAGACAGCAGAGATTTGGAAATGGGAAACACTCAGCATTTCGACAGCACTGGAAACTATGATTTTTACGAAAGATCACTAGGAGGAGGTAGCGCTGATGACTGTCTGGATGGTAATACGCATAATATACGATGCATGTAAAAGTTTCAATATATACAACTTGTTTTAAATTATCTTTTCATTTTTACTATTCCCAAAAATCCATACATTCTAGTGAGCCAAGTGTGCAACGAAGACGGAATGGAATTTACCCTGAGAACTCCTGAACCGTTTTATGGGCGCATCTACACTTATGGATTCTATGACAGATGCTTCTTTAGAGGAAATGGTGGCAGTGCTAATGTACTTAGAATCAGTGGAGCTCAAGTAAATTCTAATTCTAAACACAATTTGACGCAATGAAGTTAATTTTTTGTCTATTCCAGGGTTATCCAGAATGCGGCACTCAACGTTACGGTGACACCATGACCAACATAGTAGTAGTTCAATTCAGTGACTTTGTGCAAACAGGGAAAGATAAAAGATTTAATCTTACATGTTTGTTTAGAGGTCCTGGAGAGGCGGTGGTATCTTCTGGATTTATTGGAGCTGGGTAAAAATATTCCTTAATAATTTTTACTTCTAGATGGTAAATTATTTATTTTCTTCTAGCTCTGGTAGTCCAATTCCAATAGAATATCTTCCAGCAGAGAATTCCTTAAGCTCCAAAGTTCGTCTAATGATTCTTTACCAAGGAAGACCAACAACTACCATAGCTGTAGGTGACCCATTGACATTTAGAATCGAATCTCAAGATGGTTATAATTATGTATCAGACATTTTTGCAACCAATGTGGTAGCTAGAGATCCCTACTCTGGAAGATCTGTGCAGCTCATTGATAGATTTGGGTAAAAGTTCCATAAAAAAAAAATATTGTCATATTACTAATAATAATTGTAATTTCAGGTGTCCAGTTGATAGTTTTGTATTTCCGGAACTGGACAAAGGACGTAGCGGTGACAGCTTGGAAGCTCGATTCAACGCTTTCAAAATACCAGAATCCAATTTCTTGGTTTTCGAAGCTACTGTGAGAAGTTGCAGGGACGGATGTCAACCTGCTTATTGTCAAACTGGCACTGGACGGTTAGATATTCTTTATTCCATTTTTTCTGTGAATTGATTTTGGGTTTTTAGATCTGAACCATCATTTGGTAGAAGAAGACGGTCTCTGAATGATACTCAAATAGAAAACGGCACCCAATCTGAAACCCTACCAGCTCCACAGCACCTCAAAGTAGCTACTGAATCATCAAAACCAAAAGAAATTAAAGTTTCTTCCAAAGACTCTACAGTGTCGTTTATTAAAACTTCTGAAGCTGTTGATAGTGTTAAAGATGCAAGTGAATCTACCACGAAAAGGGTGGAAGAGGAACCTGAATTTGTAAGAGAAATGATAGAAGTATTCGATTCAAGAGAAGAAATGCCTCAAGCACGTAAAGCTGAACCAGCTCCCGAAATAGTTTGTCTCAGCCCTGGAGAATACCATGGACTTATTGGTGCAGTTTTTGTATTGGTAGCCATTCTTTTAACAGGCGCTTTACTAGCTGGATTAGCCTATAGAAAATATTGGTTAGTAATGAGAAAAAATATGTTGGCTGACCGGATGTCCTCATCAAATTTTTCTTCATCACCATCCTATCCAACGACAAGAAGTAGTGCTGGACTATCACAAGGTAACTTTATAGTATTTTAATTAAAATTGTAACCATTAAGACACCAAAGCACCTCGGTAGAAAACACCCAATGACACCGGTCCATGATCAGTCGAAAAAAAAGGTGTAAAAGGGGATTTTTATAGAAAGTTTCAGCGTTGTCAACACGTGTTTTCTACTTCAGAAATCTTTATTGCTATATTTTTGCCTTTTGTTCAATTAGTACAGTATTTTGAAATAAATATTCGGGAATTTAGTTAATCAACGTGTACCCTATTACATTTTTTTCCAGTGCGCTCCCCAATTAAAGTGGCGCCTAACGTGGGGCAAGTTAAAAAGCAAGTTTATTTTGACTGTACTCTTGTTGACTAGAAAGATTTGTGTTAAAAAATTTATAATCACCTTTATTTACATTTAGGTGTCTCTATTTTTGGAACAACCATCCAAAAACCGTTTTCCAACTTCAGCGTGGCCAGAGCGACAAACTTCCCGATATTACCCAAAGTAACAGACCCGTTTGATTGTCCAGGTCCATCATCGGGAGGTCCGTTCGAGGATCCTAGCGAGCCGATTTACACTGATCCTTCTTTGTTCGAGAGATCGCGAAGCCTGAGGAGTATAGCGGTGTCGGCGAAACGTCGTGCTACCGCTTTTGGTGAACGGAAATAGATAGTGACGTGAATGGAGTTAAGCCATAATGTTTGTTTTGTATTGAGAGGGCGTAAGATTTTTTTTTGTGTTTATTGAGGTTTCGGAAACTTGATATAATGTATCTTTTCAGCGCTTATGTAAATGCATAAAATATTTTACACTATAATGTAAGTACTATCCAGTATAAGGTATTGTAAGGATAATATGGTTCTTTAAGAAGATATTACATTTGAAAAAAAAATCTAATATAAAAATACAAAAATATTTTGTAAAAATTTGAAATTAAAATTTTAAGTAATTTTTAAACATATTTAATTATTTGTATTTTAGTTTTTAAGAATATTTAAGAGTTTAATTTTTCTACACTGCCTTTTTGTCATAAAATCACTCAATAAAAATACTGCCTTTTATGCTCATATGGCTATAATTGTGATGATATTTTATTCTGATATTTTTTATACAAATTAGGTGCGTAGATTTTTGTTTCTAAGTATTAAACTAAACATTTAATGTCCATCAAATGCCCATCCAAAAACCAAAGAAACTAAGTTTAAATAATCACTTATAAATGTTTTTATCGAAATTTTCAAATCACTAAAAAATATGTAATGTATTTTCTATTTGGTGCTTAAAAGTAAAACATTTTCTGCTTAGGTTTACTTTAACTTTATAAAGTCATAGTTATATTTAGATTGATATTTTAAGTATGCTTTTTTAACCATTTTAGTCGCAATATGTTTACCTATAAGTTGTACATAATGTACTTTTTAAATAAAGTTGAATAGAAATTTAAAGCTTTTGTTTGAATCAAGAAAATGACAGCAAAGATAAACTATATACCAATCACGTTTCAGTCTGACTCTTCCAAAATCCCGATAAACAAAAATTCAATATGAAATTAAAGAGGAAAAAAAGTTGAGACTTTTACCTTTATTTTATGTACTTATACTTACTTAACAAAGAGTATATAAGGCAAGGATTGGGAGGACACAAAGGCATATAAAATTTATAAGAAATTATTTTCTCTCAAACACCGTGGCTAAGTAATGACTTGAAATATTTTATGTCTCTGTCTCTTCGAGATAGAACTTTAACCAAATATAAAAGAAATAAATCGCTACTGCTTGGGAAAAAGGTCATGTCTTGAAACAACCGGCCAAAAGAGAACTGGAAACTGTTGAGGAAACTTGAATTGATATTTATTCCAAAGCTAAGAGGCTGGTCCCTGAAATCTTGGGCAATGCTGATGATATCAACAATTTTTTTGCAGGTTCTGCTTAATCTAACGATCCGTGTTCAGAGACGCTGAACTATCTCAACAATAGAAAGGACAATGCTGCCAACTTTGCATTTAGGGAAGAAATTGTGATGGCCTTTTTTTCCATAAAATTCATGTCCATTGATTGTGACGGCATTGGTCTGTTAATGTTACTTCACTGTTGTCCTCATATTATGCCAGTGATTGTTCATATGTTCATATGTTAATTTTTGTATCGAGACGCAATATTTTCCTCTCATGTTTTGCCTCTTCCGGTGTCTTCCCCAAGCGAGATAAAGGACTTAAGGCCAATCAGCATACTGTCTCTTTCTAAGATCGTCAAAAGGTTGCTTGAGTGCCAAGTGAAGGGATGCATCATCAAATCTTGCTACCTGTCCAAGCTGGATTTCGCAAGAATTGCAGCTGCGCAACGGCGCTCTTAAAGGTGACAGATGACATTCTGAAGGCTTCAGATCGTAGCGATTTGACGGCAATGGTTCTCTTGAACTATTCGGAGGCCTACGACTGTCTCAACCATAATCTTTTTTTAGGCATACTTCAGCATATTCGAGGTTTCTTATAAGATCATACCTCACTTAGTGGTGGGAAAATATCGAATTCAAAAACTATCGATAGTTTGATAGTAGTGGTTGATTAACTATCGATATATCGATAGTACTATCGGTTTAAAAATATAACGTAGAACTGAAATGAAAATTGAAGATTCTATTCCATAGTATTTGTACAAAAATAATTATATAACTACAATTAACGCTTTAAGAAAGCAACCATTTATTTCGATTAATAAATAACAACATATTTATATTTTTAGATTTAAGTTTGGATCTTTAAAATATTACCAGTCTTCGAGAATAACCTTTCCGAAATTGCGCAAAATGGTAGCGTCCCCCTACGTCGGCCATCTGTCACTCCGTCACTCCTGTCAGAATTCACCATCAGCTGTCGACCTGTCACCACTCCTAGTCAGGGTGGGGATTCTCATCTTCTAGTCGTAACCTATCGGTCCGACTCACCTGGGGTGCGTTCAAAGATGACAATGCTAATGCCAAAACCTATTTTTCCCCCTCCACCGGTAATGCCGAACCACGTAGGTTGGAGCCAAACTCGAACGCAAAATGCCAATTTTGGCTTGGCTGTAGCCATTCCTGAACGCAGCCCTGTAGAAAGGCAATGGGATAGTCGGGACGATAGGTTGCGAGTAGATGATGAGAATCCTCCACCAGTAAGCGCTTTCTTTTATTCACCGATGGCTCCATTGATGACCTTTCTATCTTTGTCTAGTTCATAGAAAATCGGAATGACTGCCTCATAATGCTTTCATCAGATGGAATCATCGATGAATAAAAGAATTCGCCCAGTGTTACCAATTTAATAATACAAAATTCGATAGTATTCGATAGTCTAGGGAAAATTATCGATAGTTCGATATTTTTAATTCCGCAACGAGTTATCGATATATCGATAGTTTCATTCGATAGTTTCCCACCTCTAACCTCACTCTTCGAAACCAAGTGGTCAAGCATAGTGGCAGGCTTTCGAAGCCTGTGGGGATAAAATGTGGTGGACCTCAGGGTTCTATCCTTGGGCCGCTATTTTTCTCTCTCGATACATCATAGCTTATTACATAATCTGTGATACCTACTCGACTGTTCACTATTATGCTGACGACACACAGCTTTAACTCTCATTCAAGCCTGATCAAATAATGATAGCAAAGGACAGACTGACGCACAATCTGAAGGCGCGTAAGAGGACCTCAGAAGAGCACTACCTAGAAATAAATCCCGCTAAGTTACAAGTTCTGTTGTTGGGTCGAGCGCGGAGCCGGGACCCAAACCGGAAGTCTTGGCAACCGGGATTTAGATGCATGTGATCAATGACATCATCATGTGATGCAGCATAAAATCTGGGACTACTCATGGAGATAGGCGTATCCAGGGGGTGGCAGCTGCAGCCCCCCCCCCCCCCAACGCATGTCTAAACTATTTTTTTCAAGAATATTTTATACAGGGTGTCCGTTTTAAGTGATACCACTATTGCTATCTACGAAACGGTAAAAGATACGAGGTCGGTTAAATTAGAAAAAAGTTGCCTTTTTTGATGCCCATTTAAGATTTGTTTACAGTGTTGCCAAATTTGAATGAAGTTGATGATGGTAGCTCGATCACGAAACGTCGGATTTGAAATTTGAAGATGACATGTTGTAAAGCGATAAAAATTATAAAATTTTCAAATTTAAATTGTGTCCCGAAAATCAATAGTTTTCAAAATGAAATAGTTTTAGGCGTTTCTTAAAAATCACCATATATTTCCTAAACTAAAAGGAATTCGGCAACACTGTAAACGAGTCTTCAATGGGCATCAAAAAAGGCAACTTTTTTCTAATTTAACCTACCTCGTATCTCTTACCGTTTCCGAGATAGTAATAGTGGTATCAGTTAAAACGGACATCCTGTATATTATATAACCATTATTCAATTTTCCTTTTCATAATAATTATTCTGCATAGGTAGCGTACTTTCCATTATTATTCGTAAATATTCTCAATATCTTTTTTGTATGTTGCAGTTTATGTACGTACTTTTTTGAATTTTCCTTAATAAAAATAAAGTTTATTTCATAATATCCTAATAAGGTTTTTCTATGACTACAGTGGCGGCTGCAGCAAGGGGGTCAGTGCTTCACCTTAATCACCTAAAAAAAAAAGCGAATAAGTTCAAGTCATCATATCAAACTCGCAGCCCGATGCAGCCTGCAGGGCCACAAAATCCCACTTATTTGATGGCTGGTCGCACAAAAAATTACTATTTCAATTTCTGCCCCGCAAAAAAGAATAGTCGCCTAACGTTTGGGTATGTTACAGGTAAATTCCTTACAAAAATTGGGCGTGGCTCCAAAAAAAATTTTCCCCGGCGGCGCTTTTAGCATTTTTTGTTAGCACAGCCCTCCCTAAACCAAAATCCTGGATACGGCAAGGCCAGTGTTGCCACAGGCTCTGAAAATTTCGTGCCAGACTATGAATTCAAAAGGGGCCAGATTTCAGATTTTCGGGCGAACCTTTCACAAATGAAAAAGAACAGAGAAAGCCCGCCGGAGGCAGAAATTTTTTTCGGGTGCCACGCCCAAAAACGCTAATTTTGCATAAAAAAATAAAGATTTGGCTTGTTATGGAGAAACGGGCCAGATTTGGAAAAGAGTGGCCAACGGGCCACTCCGTCTTAGAAAGGGCCAGATCTGGCCATATGGGGCCACCTGTGGCAACACTGGCCAAGGCTCATGGACATCGATCTAAGATTCTCGGAGCATATCAATAATTGTGTCAAAAATGCTTTTGGCAACCTCAAACTGAAACTAATATTTAACCCTTAAGTGCACACGTGGGGGTACAGAAGAGAAGACCCCAAGAGTTTTCTTTTGCCCACAGCTTTTTAATAGGTTTGACACCATCGCTCAAATCGCAAGTACCTTTCGAGGATAAGTCGGACGCTAAGTACACGCGGAGCCGCCGTGATGAACAATACTTTCACGGCTCTGGGGTGTGTGATAGAAATCTTGGGTCCGTTTTTTCAAAATCAAAGTCCAATTAACACAACAATAATTTATTCCACGTCACTATGCACTCTGACACTAATTTCCTTCAATCACCAGTAAAAACTGTTTTACCTGGCTAATAATGTAAAATACTATTGATAGTGTTGAACACTGGGCAGTTAAGAGCTCATTAATTAATAGCAGAATAGACTACAGATATACAGACCTAATAACCAACATATATAGCAAAGCAACAACAACTGTTAAAATCTATGAGAGAACAAAACCAATACCCATAGGAAGAGGTGTCAGACAGAGCGACACAATATCACCTAGGCCCAGGCCCTGGAAGATGTTTTTAAAGAACTAGACTGGGAAGAAAAAGGTATAAAAATATGTAGACAA